GCGCGCGGCCCCGCGGCGCCATTTCCGCTCCGACCCCTCGTGCACGCGCAGGCGCGCGCAGGCGCGCCTGGGGACACCGAGGCTGCGCCTGCGTGATGCCTCGGCCTCGCTACTTGTCCACGGCTCTAAGCCCCCTCCCCCCCGCACACCTAACGCCTGCCGGTGTGCCCCTCGCTGAGCTGTCTTTTCCCCAAGACTTGCCTTAGTGTCCAGCTTGTCTCCCTCATTTGTCCCAGGGTCCAACTCCACAGCCTTCCGGTCTTGTCACTTCGGTGGCCCCGTAAGAAGCTCGCTCTTGTCGTCTTCCAGCGGGATTCCTTGCTCCCGGCTTGCGGATTGCCCGTTTTTCGTTCCAGACCCATGGTTGTCCAGCGGCTCCATCACGCATTAATTTCTCTACAGATATTTAGTGCCTTGTGCTGGGGGTAGAGTGGTGAATGAAATAGACGAGGCCCTGCCCTCGTGGAACTTACAGTCTGGGAAAGGAAACACGGTAAACAAATTCTCCAGTAACTAGGCATTTTGTAAAAAGAACCTTGAGCGAAAGGGATGAGAAGTCAACTCTGTGAACAGGTAACTTAGACGTGACTCCCTGGGCTTCTGTCATGCCTCAATGCCTCTGCCTGGGGAGCTACTTCCAGGCATCTCGAACATTATTTTTACTGCCCTTGGAAACTTACCTTCCGGTACTCTGCCAGAGACTTGCCTTCTTGCTTATCTACGTACAGAATCTGAACTCATCTTTGCTACATCTGCGCCTTCTGCCTGTGTGCCTCGTTTTGTATTTTTCCTTCTCCAGGGAGAATAGAACAAACTTAGCTGAGTCCCTGCTGTATGCAATGAAGTAATTTATTTTCTGCGAAGTGTTTGGGGGACGTGTCCAAAAAATTGAACGGAAAACCAGCCCCTATCATTAAGGTTCAGGCAGCCCTTTAAAACAGACCCCCAAGGGGCATGGTTAAAGCTTCAGGACATTGCACATCCCCTCAAGTTATATGCTAACTTTTTTTTTTTTTTTTGAGTTGGCGTTTCATTATGTCATCCAGGCTGGAAGTGCAGTGGCACGCTCACGACCACAGCAGCCTCGACCTGCTGGGCACAGGTGATCCTTCTACCTCAGCCTTCCAAATAGTTGGAATTACAGGCAAACACCACCACACCCGGCTAATATTTTGATTTAGTGTAGAGATGAGGTCTCACCAAGTTGTCCCGGCTGGTCTCAAACCCATAGGCTCAGGCAGTCCTCTCACATTGGCCTCCCCAAGTGCTGGGGTTATAGGCGTGAGGCACCGTGCCTGCCCCCCCCCTTTTTAAAAATAAAGATGGAAATGAAGACAAGTAGTGTCAGGGGATGTTGACATTTAACTAATTAATTTGTTAATTGAGTCAGAGTCTCACTCTGTCACCCAGGCTGGAGTGCAGTGGCACACTCATGGCCACCACAGCCTCTACTTGCTGGATTCAGGTGATCTTTCTGCTTCAGTCTTTCAAGGAGCCGGAACTACAGGCATGCGCCATCACGCCTGGCTAGTTTTTTGATTTACTGTAGAGACAAGGTCTCACCAAGTTGCCTAGGCTGGTCTCGAACCCCTGGGCTCAGGCAATCCTCTTGCCTCCACCTCCCAAATCACCGGGATTACAACGTGAGTCACCATATCTGACTACGCTAATATTTTAATGTTACTGTCTATTGAACTAAAATAATGCATATAGTTAAAAAAATATATATAAATAAGATTAGAAGACTTGTAATGAAAAAGCAGTTCCCTGGACTACTCATCAGAAACCATGTCCTCAACTCTTTCATATATTCATCCTTCATATTTTTAAATAAATGCTTAAACCACTATATTCAATTCGTTAATTTTTAGCATTGCCTGTTGACTTCCCACCATGGTAGATAAAAACTTGACTCAATCACTTCTGCTCCCCATCACATAGTTGTGTAACAATTTTTGGTTAAACCAATAATTTGTACTAAAACTATTATGTATGCAATTATTATTTACTGATGAGCCAAGAAATGCACTACGATCATGGCTTCTAGATTATACAGCTCTTCATTTTTCTTAGGATTAATTATTGCCTTTTTTCTCTCATTTGTCTGGTTTTCTATAAACAGTATTTATGGTTGGCTTTTCCTATCAAGTGCTCTAAGACTGTCAAAAAATCTAGCAATCATATTTTCCATATACTCAAATACATAAGTTCCACTTTTTCTCTGGAGTCTTTGTCCCCAAACCTTTGTTCCTCTTGTTTTAATCTGAATTGAATGTTCTCTAAATTTGCTGTACATAGCCAGGCATGGTGGCTCAAGTCTGTAATCCTAGCACTTTGGGAGGCTGAGGTGAGAGGACTGTCTGAGCTCAGGGGTTCAAGACCAGCCTGGGCAACTTGGTAAGACCTCATCTCTACAATTAAAAAAAAAAAAAAAGCCGGGCGTGGTAGTGCATCCCTGTAGTTCCGGCTACTTGGAAGAAAGCTGAGGCAGAAGGATCGCCTGTGCCCAGGAAGTTTAGGCTGCAGTGATCGTGAGCATGCCAAGGCACTCTAGCCTGGGAGACAGAGTGGGACTCTGACTAAAAACAAACAAACAAACAAGCAAACAAACAAACAAACAAACATTAGCAGGGCATGGTGGTGCGTGTCTGTGGTTCCAGCTACTTGGAAGGCTGAGGCGGAAGGATCGCCTGAGCCCAGCAGGTCAAGGCTGCAGACACTCCTGGACGACAGAGCGAGACTCTGACTCAAAAATAAATGAATACATAAAAAAGTAAATAAACTGGCTGCACAGTTCTGGGTTGATTTTGCCTATTTCCCGGACCCCGTGTCTTCCTCTTTCTTGACTTGCTTCCTTATTTTCCTCTAGTAACTTCATAAGAAAGGGAGAGAGGGAATATGTGTTTAGAAGCTTCGCATATTTGAAAATATCAGCCGGGCTCAGTGACTCAGCCTGTAATCCCACGCCTTTGGGAGGCTGAGGTGAGTGGATTGCCTGAGCCCGCGGGTTTGAGACCCCCCTGGGCAGTGAGACCTCATCTCTACAATAAATCAAAAAATCAGCCAGGTGTGGTAGCACTTGCCTGTAATTCTGGCTACTCGGAAGGCTGAGGCGGAAGGATCGCCGGAGCCCAGCAGGTCGAGGCTGCGGTGGCCGGGAGCGGCCACTGCACTCCAGTCTGGGTGACAGAGTGAGACTCCAACTCAAAAAACAAAAAAACAACAAAAAAGAAAATATCTTACTTCTACTTAACAATTGATTTATTGCTGGGCTTGATATTCAAGTTTCAAAATCATATGGATCATTTTGAAGGCATACTCCATTTTCTTATACCTTCTAAGGTTGCTATTAAAAAAGTATAGTTTCTATTCATATTCTTGATTCTTTGTATAGTACATCTTCCCATTCTGGAAGCCTCAGGGTTTTCTCTTTAACCTATTGGTTGGAAATTTTATAATGATGTGCCTTGTTGGACCACTTTCTTAAGGTTTTGTACTGAGCACTCATTCAAAATAGAAACTCATGGGGCTAGGTGTGGTGGCTCACGCCTATAATCACAAGACTCCATGCCCAGCTAAATTTTTATTTTTTGTAGAGACAGAGTCTCGCTTTATTGTATAGGCTGGTTTCAAACTCCTGGTCTTAAGTGATCCTCCTGCCTCAACCTCCCCAAATGCTGGAATTACAGGCACAAGCCACCACACTCAACCCGTTATGGTTTTATGGAGAAGAATTTCTTTTTTCTGAGGCTATTATAATAATACATTTGTTTTTAGTTTTTCTGCCCTCTGTGCCTCTGGGTCCTTTTTAAATTTCTTTCTTTTTTTTTTTAGTTAGAATTTCAATCTGTTACCAGGCTGGAGTGCAGAGGCTCACTCACAGCCACCGCAGCCTTGACCTGCTGGGCTCATGCAATTCTTTCACCTCATCCTTCCAAGTAGCTGGAACTACAGGTGTGAGCTACCACACCTGGCTAAAAATTATTTTTTTGATTTATTGTTGAGATGAGGTCTCACCAAGTTGCCCAGGCTGGTCTCGAACTCCTGGTCTCAGGCAATCCACTCATCTCGGCCTCCCAAAGTGCTGGAGTTACTGCACACCTGGCCTCTGGGTCCTTTTTAATGCTAACTTATTTTGGTTTCTCTCATGTTAATAGCCATCCTCAAAAGTCTGTCTACAATAAATAAAAAAAAATTAGCCAGGGGTGGTGGCGCACCCCATAGTTCCAGCTACTTGGAAGGCTGGAGAAGAAGAATCGTCTCAGCGTGATAGCACTGAATCGGTGGCTGTGAGTGTGCCACTACACTCCAGCCTGGGTGACAGACTGAGACTTCGACTCAAATAAATAAATAAAAATAAAAAAATAAAATAAAAAAGAATGAGACTGAAAAGCTGGGTGGAAACACTGAGTGTGTGGGAAAGAGGAGGTGACTAGCTCCTTGCTACTCACAAGGACCAGCAGCATTAGTCTTATCTGGGAGCTTATTAGAAATGCAGAATCTTAGGCCCTTCTATAACCATAGATTAGAATCTGCATTTTAACAAGATCACCAGCTGATTCAAACGCACATTACATCGTGAGAAGTACTAGATTAATGGCCTTCACCATAAGGTGCACAGATGATGTGCCAGATGTCGAATGTCAATAGGGGGAGGTCTTCCTTCCAGAGAAGAATCTGCTAGTTGTGTTTGGAAAGTGACTGTTATCAAACATCCAGAAATGTGTTGCATTCAGTCTTAAAGATAGAGGTTAGAGGTTTTTTGGGGCTGGGTCCCTTGCACTTGGATGTTTTGTTGGTCGGTAAGCAGCCCCAGCAGGAGGAAAGGGAGTAGAACTAGTAGGAAGAGGAGACAAGAGCGTGATATCGGGATATTTAATCCCTGCTTCCTTTTTGTGAGGTTGTTTCATGCTGGCTGTGTCCATCACCAAATGTCACTACTCCTCTCAAGGTGGCCACCTCAGTGCAA